TGCTCAGCATATAAGGCTGGGGGAAGAAGAAGGAAGGGCGGACGTTCGGAGTGATGGCTTTTGTCTTCTCAAGTAACCATTACGTGTGATGGAGCCCTGCTTTCCTGGAGGTGGCTGAACACCTGCCTGCCGATGGGAAGCAGTGAATGAATTCCTTGTTTTGCTTTGCTTGCGCGCGCGGCTTTTGCGTTACTTATTAAACTGTCTTTATCTCAACCCATGAGTTTTCTCACTTTTACCCTTCCGATTCTCTCCCCCATCCCACCGGGGGGGAGTGAGCGAGCGGCTGGGTGGGGCTTAGTTGCTGGCTGGGGTTAAACCATGACAATAATGCAGGAACTTCAGTAATGGGAAAGACTGAGAGTAATTGGCTGTTTTGGGCAAGTAGGAGGGGAGCTCTGTGTTCTGCATCCTCTTTACAGATTGTTTGGTGGGTTTTTTTTTCCCCAGCTAAAATTTATTTTTTGATTATCCAGAACTCCCTGTGCTTTGCCCCCTGGCCACGTGTGTCTGGTGGCTGTATTCTCATAGTACCTAAGGCCCCAGTTAGAAATGGAAGTCTTCTGCACTGCCTTTTCTCCCTCTCACAGGATGAGCTGTCTATGTAATCTTCTGTTATTAGAAGGTTAACTGTTGCCTAGAGGATTTCAGAGGTGCCTCCTGCCCCCATCATGTCACCCCACGGTTATTCCCCCCCCCCCTTTTTTTGTTTTTGTTTTTTAACACTCCAATGGCTATTTGGGTTGAGAGTTACGCTCTTTGAATTTACTCTGACTTGCAGATATATATTGGAGCAAAATAGGGCTGCTCACCTTTTCATATTGTGTCTGTTCTTGGGTGTACTTGGACCATTTAAGTTTGAGGAATAAGGATGCCCTGTTTCACCTACAGCTTAAGGCTGTACATTACTTTGTCAGCAGAGAGTGAAGGTGGCTATAATTGTTTAAAGTGAAGGTGCGTAACCTCATAGGAGCAGCATGTCTCTTACCACTCATGGTCTTGTCACAGAGTCATTGCTGGCACCGCAGTGACAGCAGCACTTATTGGGATCTCTTATTTGGTTATCTGTCTTCTGTCAGCTGTCACTATATCTATGGAAATCTCCATTGAAATGGAATTTCTCAGTCCACTGGGGGATGTACATGTTTGATGGAGTGTTACTCTTGTCTCCTCTCCCACCTTCAGTGCTTTTTGTGCCACGCTGCAAGGCTCTTTTTCTTGCCTTTCCATTAGCTCTGTTCAAATCAGAGGAGCCTCCCACTTGTCATCAGAATATCTGCATTTAATTTCTCACTTCAGAAGTCTCTTAGGGCAGGGCTCCACCGTGTGTTTTACTCACAGATGGATGCAGGTGTTTGTGCCGTGTCCTGCAATAGCTTGCTGTAAGCTAATTTTATAAATACTGAGTACTTTTGCTAGTTGTGTGTTCTAGCAATAGTGGGGAGAATGAGGAATCCTCAATTGTGTCCTGCTGTCTGGAAATCAGTAGCTAGCATTTGGAAGAGCCTTTGAATCGT